CACACACACACACACACACACACACACACACACACACACACACACACCCCGTCTCTCACACTCCTAATCCCACCAAAAATAAAAGAGGGGTATGGTGATGTACACCTAGTACTCCAAAACTGCCTAGTGGGGAGGTTAAAGGGGGAGAGTTATTTGAACTTGGAACTCAGGACTTAATACCAGCTTGTGCAAACCTGTATCAGAAATATAAGAGGTAGGGGGTATCCAAGATGGTGGCGGCCAGCACGCACCGTATCTGAGAGGCAGAGGATCTGAAACTCCGAACTTGGTGAGTAAAGGGGCAGCTGAAGCCAGAACATGGACATTGAGGCTTCCTGGGTGAGAGGAGACAACCCGTGAGCTGAGTCCAGGTCACCCTCGGACTTCTTTGGGAACCGAGAGTGGCAAGCATTCGATCCCCCTGCACTTTCCCTTGTCGGCCTCCCTCCTCGGAGGAGCATACAGCTTGCAGCACCTGCGGCTCATAGCACAGAATTCCCCCCAGGTGACAAAACAGCAGAGGTGGGCCTCCTAGTTCCTCAGTGGTGGCTGCCAACTGTACCAGCCTTCCAGGTCCTGGATCTGTGAGCAGCTGTACCAGCAACCGTGCTGGCTGCCCAGTCCCTCAGTGGCGGGCAGCTTGCTGTCTGAGCCACTTAGCTCTTTGGACCGCTGTAGGGGCTCCCCAGGGCTTCTCAGCAGGCATCTGTACCAGCTCCCAAATTCTGCTGTTGTGGTTGGACTCCCAGTGGACCTCTATACCATCTCCAGGTTGTGTGGCTGCAGCACCACCGAGCTATACCCGCATTTGACCCAGCAGGCCCAAATCTGAGAGTAGAGAACAGGGGGAACCCTGTGTGCCCTCCAGTTAGACCTGCTAGAGAGTGAATGCACCTTCAAGTAAGTGCCTGCAGAGCCCCAGATCCAGGGTCCCTCTATCCTAGCAGCCAGACATTGGATCCCTCTTACCACACACCCACTGTGGACAACATAGAGATTCTTAGGAGAGCTTTCTCAACATTGAAGCCCCTGTTGTGTGGGTCTACCAGTGGAGTCCAGGGAAACGACTCCTGGAGCCCAGACAGAGCTGAATACCACAAGGACAGTATGACAGGCCTGTAGGCCACTGAGGTATTCAGGGAATCTGCACATGCTCATTGTGCCCAAGAACAGTGCCAGTACCTGCAACCCCTCCTACGCCTACACCACCTCCTGTTCCACATTCAAGCCATCTACACTCTCTAGCACCCTGTCCTTTAAGGCACACTTCCATACACACACTTGCTCGCCCACATTAGTGCTTCTGCACCAGCGGATCTTCCTCCCTTAGGAATAGCTGAAATACCAATGCACACTCTCAAACCAGTGGACCTTTCTTGTCACCCTGTGGAATAATCCAGACATCAGAGAAAGACGATACCAGTCTGAACTGCAGAATCCAGGAACAAACAGTGAAGGTTACAAATAAGCAAGTGGCCAGAGGTTGGTGTAAGGACACATCCAACAAAAACCAGGACATCGTGGCTTTACCAGCAACCCCCAAAATCAGTGGATATTCGAATTCATCGGAAACAAGGAAAATGACTTTAAAGCTCTACTTAGCCAGTTATTAGAGGGACATAAAGAGGAAATGAACAAATCTCTCAAAGAAACAGAGGCAAATATGGCCAAACAAGTAGAGGCACAATTAGTAGCATATAGACAGGAAACGAACAAAAAAGTGTAGAGATCATTATAAAAAGACAGGAATCTACATTCACCCAGATAAAGGAAATGGTGCAAGGCATGAAAACAGAATCAATAAAGAAAACACAAACAAAGAAGACCCTGGAGCTGGAGAACTTCAGAGAAAAGATCAGGTACGTCAAAGGTAAGCATCACCAAAGAATGCAAGAGATAGAAGAGAATCTCAGGTGCTGAAGATACAATTGCAGAAATTGATACATCTCCCAAAGAAAAAGTAAAATTGGAAAAGTTTCAAACACAAAACATCCAAGAAATCAAGGATGCCGTGAAAAGACAAAATATAAGAATAATAGGAATAAACGAAAAAAGGAGACTCCAGGCTCCAAGGTCCATGTCTTTGACATGAACTTAGTGGCTGGCTCTTTGACCACCACCTCCCACCCCCAGCCCCCAATGGGAGAGCATCCTTGCCAGGCCACTAGAGGAGGACAATGCAGCCAGTCCTGATAAGATCTGGTAAGCTTGGGTCAGATGGAAGGGGAGGAGGACCTCCCCTATCAGAGGACTTGGAGAGGGTCATGGGATGAGATGAGGGAGCAAGGGGGCTACAGCTGGGATACAAAGTGAATAAACTAATTAATATAAAAAATAAAAATTTAATTAAAAAAACATAAGGTAAAGAAATGAGGGGTGGAGATAATGCTTTATAGGAGATGATAGATATTTTTCACTGATTTACTTTTTTGTTGTTATTGTTTTAGGACAGGGTTTCTCTGTGTAGCCTTGGCTGTCCTGGAACTCCTGCAGGCCAGGCTGACCTTGAACTCAGGTCCACCTGCCTCTACCTCTTGAGTGCTACACTACCTACCACCCAGCAAAAAAGTTTTTTACCTTTTCATGACTTTTTCGTGACTGTATTTTGTTATCTATAGTGTGCACAGCAATTGTACTGACATTAATGTCCCTATCCTACCTTTTGATTCTGAAAATGCTGTCTTTCAAAAGCCATTAGTCTCACTTGAATTTACTTAATTTTTTTTTGCCTCCCTGTGTATGTGTTTGTTTGTGATTCCCGATCTCACTCTAACCTAGGCCACCCTGGAACCTGTGGCAGTTCTCCTTCCTTTGCCTCCTGAGAGCTGGAATTAGAGTTGAGACACAATTCTTAGCTCACTTGATTGATGTAGTTTATTTGATTCTGTAGGGAGGGGCAGATGTAGGAGTCCATTCTCTCTTTACACTCTGGGTCCTAGAGCTCAAATTCAGGTGTTGAGGCTTAGCAGCAACTCACCTGCCAAAGATGCACTTTATAAATAGGACCTGAGATATGGCTCAGTTGGTAAAGTGCCTCCTGCTTAAGTTTCGGCCTGAGTTTGGATTCCCAGCATCCAAGTAAAAGCTGACTGCAATGTATTTCTGGTACCTGGAGAGCAGGCTGGGGAGAGGGTTTTTTTTTTTTTTTTTTTTTTTTTTTGTTCGTTTGTTTTGTTTTGTCTGTTTTTGTTTATTTTGTGTTGTGAGGGGTTGGGTATGCCATTTTGCTTGCATCTGTAAAGAAGTCAGAGGACGACTTGCAAGTCAATTCCACCAGCAATCAAACTCAGGTTGTCAAGTCTTAGAAACTAGTGTTCTTATGCACTGTGTCCTTAAGTCATGTTGTTAAGAATTAATTAAGCCGGTGGTGTTGGTGTATACCTTTAATCCCTGCACTTGGGAGGCAACAGAGAAACCCTATTAAAGAGAGAGGGGATGGTAAAGACTTTTTCTCTTGTGTTCTCTCTCTCCCTCTCTCTCTCTCTCTCAAAAAAGACAGTAACTTTCAGAGTGAAATGATAATATAGATTATCTAGAGGATTCATACAATATCAAGATTTGACTGGGCACTTGAATGAGAGAGTTTACTGATCCCTTTATTTTTCAAAAATATATAAAAGATGACTTCCTGTTTTTAAAATTCTACATTTTAAGGGTAACAAATTAAACGGTTTTTCTGTCTGCCTTTTAAAGATTAGCATGTACTCGTCGTATAAAATGGTAGCCTTCACAAATGTCTTTTGTGTTTTTTCTAAGATACTGCCATGAAGTCAAGCCTGGGGAAATTGTAGAAATATCCAGACATGGTGTCAAAACTCTTGATATAATTCCAAGGTCTGAAGGGGACCCAGTGGCTTTTTGTATCTTTGAGTATGTTTATTTCGCAAGACCAGATAGTATGTTTGAAGGTAAGTACGTTTCTTCTCTTTGACTATTCGCGTAATCTTCATGCATCTTATTGAACATGACAGTTACTGCCCCAGTGGCTTCTTTGGCTCTTGGGAGGCCTGTAGCTGTATGCTGTAAATACATTACTGAGCTACAAGTGGTAATTGCCCTTCTTTCAGCTCTTCGTTTTTGTTTTTCTTTCAGTAGTAAAGAATATGACTTTCTAATACATATTAAGGTGAAATTTTATAAATACCACACGGTTGAAGCGCTTGATTTTTTTTTTTCTACCTTATTGTTTCTGTGTGGATTCCTTTTCTTTTGTCCAATCTATAAAATCCTAGCACCAGCTTTGTAGAATAGCAATGTTATGCTCAGTTAAGACAATTTGTTTTCTCTTCCAAACATTCCAGACCAAATGGTTTATACAGTACGGTACCGGTGTGGTCAGCAGCTGGCGATAGAAGCACCGGTAGAGGCGGACTTGGTGAGCACAGTTCCAGAATCTGCTACGCCTGCTGCTCTTGGGTACGCGGCAAAGGTATTTACTTTTAATTATTTTCAGTGAGTTGGTCTTCTGGCAGTGAAATAAGAAATGTGACCTACCATAGGGAAATCCACCAATTTACCCTAAGAAGGAAAGATTTGGGGTCTAATGTTGATTCCTGTGCATGAATTACTAGACATTTTTTCAACAAGTGGGCTGAGTCATGGCTCATTGGGTGAAGATTTTTGCTATCAAGGTTGACTGCATGAGTTTGATTCCTAGGACCCACACGATTAAAGGAGAGAACTGACTCAAGTGAGTCGTACCCTGCTTCCACACAGGCTCGGTGGCATGCCTGTGCCCATGCGAGCACATGCAGGCACACAATAAGCAGTTGTTGGGGAGACACACACACACACACACACACACACACACACACACACACACACACCATATCAACTGGCTATGAGGTGTGTCCCTGTGTTCTCAGTTGTTAATTTTGGTGCCAGTGGCACCAGGCTGGCAGGATATGTAAATGCTTGTTGCTTTCTCCCCTGCCCAAAATGAAAAGGCAAGCTACCCGCCATCACATCTCTGCTCCACACGCATACGCCTGGATTCTCGTCCAGGTCTCATGTCTGGAACATGTGTCTGGGTGCTCTATTGGCTGGGGTGATGTCTGCCCTTGCCCGGATTTCGTGCCTCATCTGGGTCTTGGGCACCAGATATTGTGGAGGCTTTGGGGGGCTCTGCTTGGGGGCTAACAAAGAAGCCATGGAGATATCTGTATAGTATAAGGTTGTTGGCCTTTTTGCTGGGACAGTCAGCTAGCCTTTGAAACTTAACCCAACTTCCCTGCCATTTTGTCCCTGCCACATGGATCTCTCTCTGTCTCTCTCTATCTCCCTGTTCTTTTCCTGTCCTGTTCCCTTCTCCTTCTATCTCCTGCTTCTGTTTTTCTGCCCCAGCTTCAGCTGGCAGCCCTTTATTTTTAAATATCACCCTGTGTCATACAAAAAAAAAGCTTCTAGCATAGTGAGAGGAGGGCCATGTGACCTCCCCCGCGGCAGTTTTTAATTATTCATAGATTAGAATATTAGCCCTTATTTTTAATTTTTAACAGCATTACAAAATAAAGGGTTCCATTGTGACTTTTCCATATGCATGTGATTTTACCCTGTCCTTACTCATGCCATCCCATTGCCCTTCTTTTGTTTTGCACTTTTGCTTGACTCATAATAGTTCCCCTTTGTGCTAGTATATCACATGCACTCTATTACCCTGTTTCCACCTTTCCTTATGATCTCTTCTTCCTCTTCTTCTGGTCTTCTGTTTTCAACACACACACACACACACACACACACACACACACAATGTTGACCTTGAGGTTGGCTAACTTTTGGTAATGTGCCCATCTTGTTTTTTAGCATTTTCATCTCTTGTATTAATTCCTTTGTGAGTTTCTTCCTTCCTTCCCTTGGAATACAATCATGGAGTTGCACAAGGGACACTTCTGGTCTAACATCATAACTTGACAGTCCGGCCCCTACTGGTGTTTTTAAAAAGAGAGCAACTCCTTGTGGTAGCATATGCCTGTGATATCAGCACTGGAGAAGCTGAGGCAGAAACGCTGCTGAGCTGGAGGCCAGCACCATGAATATGTACAGCATTTAGTGGCAATATAGATGAGCACCCTCACTTAGCTTCTGAATGAAGCAATGTGCATGTGTTATAAAGATGTTACCGGGAGGAATGGATGGATACCTCTTAACCCAAAAAGGTATCATCTTAACCCAATATTTCTACTAATTGTGCATTTGTTTTCTCTCCCTCAGTGTAGGCTGCCATATGTGGAGGTGCTGTGTAAAAACCGATATGTTGGAAGAACCTTCATTCAGCCAAACATGAGGTTAAGACAACTTGGTGTTGCAAAAAAGTTTGGTGTGTTGTCTGACAACTTTAAAGGCAAAAGAATTGTTCTCATAGATGATTCAATTGTGAGAGGCAATACCATCTCACCCATTATAAAACTCCTCAAAGAATCTGGTGCAAAAGAGGTAAGTGATGTTGAAACATGCTGAAGTGCCAATAATTAACCGTGTGACACTGGCATAACAAGTGCAGTATCCAAGAGGATAGTTGATTGAAATTTAACCTTGCCTGGCAGATTGCTTCTCGATAGCTGGGCAGCAGTATGAAGAACATTTGCTCGCTATTAATCTTTAATAGATTGAAAAGCTAAACATAGAAGGTCACTCCTAGCATTTGGGAGGTAGTGGCAGGAGAATCAAGTCTTCAAGGTTGCCTGTGGCTGCTGATAATCCCTCTAAAAAAAAAAAACAAAGTAAAATAGCTCAGACATTTTTTTACAGTATAGTATTTTTGAAATAATGTTTTGTATATATAATATATATAATGTTCCTTTAGACATCATGGGTCTTAGGGTTTCTACTGCTGCAGTGAAACACTGTGACCTAAAAGCAAGTTGGGGGACAAAAGGTTGCTAGGTTTAAGAAGTCAGAGAAGGAACCTGAAGGCAGAAGCTGATGCAGAGGCAATGGAGCTGCTTACTGGTTTGCTTGCTACCCATCACTTGCTCTGCCAGCTTTCTTGTAGAACCCAGGACCACCAGCTCAGGAATGGTACCACTCACAGTGGGCTGGGCCTCCCCATCAGCCACTTATCTTACAAGGTATTTCCCATCTCCCAACTGGAACTATGGAGGCATTTTCTTAGTTGAGGTTACTTCCTCTCAGATGACTTGAAGTTGACATGAAACTATTCAGCATGTCATGTTACTGCTTAAAAGTAACTTACATTCTTTGCAAAACCCAGCAAATTTGTATGACTCTGTTTATTAAAATGTTTACTTTCTTGTAGCAGTCTGAAACAAAGCCTGCACTATCTCCATTTATTCATTTATTAAGTTGTATTTTTAAATTTCAGCGTTTATTCCAACTTTTAAATTACAAAAACAAACTGCCTTTTATAGTGAATAACTAGCTGAATGAATATGAAAAGATAGAAAGCAAAAAGGATGGCCTACATTTAGAACATTTCAAGAATTACAAGGGTTTTCCAGCTTTTTGTGTGTGTGTGTGGCCAATTATGGTTCTGGTAACCTCACTATTGAGTTCTATGACAATTATAGAATGAAAACAGAATATAATAAACTCAGCATCTGTTGGTGTACTAAAAAAGAATTGATACCCGAATAACTTGCAAACAGATTGAATATGTAAAGTGACATGCCTGCCGGTGTGATGAAATGTGATGTGGCCATTAAAACCTTATGAAGATTGCATAAGACAGGCTGGTTGTTCTTACAGTGTGAAAGATTAAAAGAAAATGTGCATCTTGGTTATGACTATGTAAATGGGACTAACAGGAAGGGCAGAAACAGTAGTAGACAGAGGAGCCATGTTACAACTCTTCAGATTGTCATTATAACCCAGCAGATTATGCCCAATATGGCAAAGTACAATTTACGTATTAAAGCAAAACAAAAGTAGTTCTAGGAATGTACAGTCATTCAATAGGAAGCCAAAGATAAGGAGAAAAAAAATTGCTCATTAAGAAAAAATTCACAAAGCATGGTGTGGGTACGCCTTTAATCCCAGTACTTGGGAGGCAGTGGCAGGCAGGTCTCTGAGTTCCAAACCAGCCTGTTCTACAAAGAGCGTTCCAGGACAGCCAAGGCTACACAGAGCAAAGTAACCCTGTCTCAAAAAAACAAAAGAAAAAGACAAAAATTCATAGGCTGGAGAGATGGTTCAGTGAGTAAGAGCACTGGTTGCTCTTGCAGAGACCCCAGGTTTAGTTTCTGGTGCCCACATGGTGGTTCACAACCATCCCTAACTCCAGTCCAGGGAATCTGATGCCCTCTTCTGACCTGAGCATCACATGCTCGCATGGTGCTCAGGTGTTCAGACATACATGCAGGCTAATAACAGGAATAAAACTAACTTTTTTTTTTTAATTTTTTTTTAAAGAAGAAAAACTTTAAAGCTTACTTTGTTGCTCATATTGTTACTGAATGTTCAGTAAGACAGTTTTATCAGTGGAAAAAATGTGTAATTATTTTTGCTCTGAGTATATGGTATCATTTCTTTCCAAGGTGCACATTCGTGTCGCTTCACCACCAATAAAATACCCTTGCTTCATGGGAATAAACATTCCCACAAAAGAAGAGCTTATAGCCAATAAACCAGAATTTGAATGTCTTGCAGAGTACCTCGGTAGGTATTAAAATTTCTGTAAATTTTAATTGTTTGTTTTAAATTTTAAGTGTACTTTTGTGTAAAATAGCAAATAGTTAGAAGATTAATTTGAGTGCCAGGGAGCTAATTTCAACAGTTAACAGTTTTTGCCATGCAAGTTTTGGGGAACCAGAGTTGAATTCATAAATGCAGAGTGGGTATGGTCCATCTGTACATAATTTTAGAGTTCAGCATGGGGTAGCCAGATTCTGAGACCTTGGGCTTCTACAGACACGTGTACACACGTGTGCACGCACACATACACCCGGAGGGAAACCATTCACTAACAGTTACCTTCTAGAAAACATTGAAGCATAACGATTGCAGTTCCTATTTTGTGTGGTGACACATGCCTTGAATCCAACACTGGATGCCAGGGCAGCCTGATCAGAGTTGAGGGCCAGCCTGCGCTACAAAGGCATTTGCAGGCTAGCCAGTGCTACAGACTAAGACCTTGTCTCAAAAAAACAAATCAAAACAAAACAAAACAACCCTCAGTTATAACATTGAACACAATTCTGAAAGGAATGGAGTACATTCCTTTGTAGGTTAAAGCCAGATCAGAAGAGAAAGTGTTTTATCCTACACACACACACAATTGAATGAAGAGATTTCTGCATTTCAAGTAAACACTTCATCACTAGGCCATATCCCCCAGTACTTTCCTTCTTTTAAAAGTTTGAGTTGTCCTGGTTGGCTTGAACTTGTGATCATCTTGCCTCCACTTTCCAAGAAACTGGGATTACAGACCATCTGTCATCACATCAGCTTCCTCTTTCAGGAAGGCTAAAAGAAAGTTTCATGCTGAATGTACCTGTGCTTTGGTGAAGCATGTTTTCTTTCTAAAGACAAAGCTGTTGACATCTCCCTTTCCTGCTGCAGGAGCAAATAGTGTTATATATCTGTCAGTGGAAGGACTGGTTTCGTCCGTGCAGCAAGAGTTAAAATTCAGGAAACAGAACGTGAAAAAACATGACATTACAATTCAGGCAAATGGAAATGGTCTGGAATGTTTTGAGAAGACGGGACACTGTACGGCTTGCCTCACTGGGCAGTACCCTGTGGAACTGGAGTGGTAGCTGCCTGGACAGATGCTTCAAAACTGACAGGTGATGGAGAAGTGGTTCACGTACTGTTACTCAGTTGGTACAAAGTAAAGTGGATGCCACGTGCTTCTGTATGTATACCTTTATAAGCTTTGAGATTGTCTGAGGTTACTGAATTGCTATAATTGAACCATGATGATTACATGAAATAAAACATGTAGGGATGCTTTTTATACAAGGGTTGACTCTTTTCACCTAAGAGAAGGCCAGAGGTTAGTGGTATTTCCCAGGCCCATGCTTGAAGAGGTTAGAGTAAGGGATGTTATATACACAGGGCAGGGGGCTTTGTAAAGTCTCATGAAAATTTTGAATTCGTTGAGTGCATTGTGCCCCAGAGGTCTCTAGTCTGTACAGTCAAGCCTGTAATTATGGCCTTGATCTTAGGTTCTTCCCCCTCACCACCATACTCATATTTGTGGTTCTGGGGACCAGTGTACAACTCTTAAAGAAAAACATGAAAAATACTTGGGAAGCTGAGGCAGGAGAATCTAAAATTCAAGGCCAATCTGGCTTTCCTGCCTCCAGATAAGAAAGTATCTTTCTCCGCCTGGGAATCCCCATTTGTTTTGTGAGGCATTCGTACACGTGGTACATACATAGTAGGGCTGTCAGTACATGTCGTACCTGAGATGTTGAAAAATACCGATTTTCCCCTGCGTTTCTACAGTGCATGGTCAGTAGCTTTTGAGAAGCTAATGTTAATTAGCTTCTACTAAATTAGTTTGCAGTTTCACTGTGCTGGAGGGTAGGTTTGCAGACCTTTTCCATCTCTGTGGGATGCACCAGAACGACTGAAAACTATATCTGGAGCCTTTTTTTTTCTATACTTGATTAGAAAATGTGCTCAATAATATTTATCCCAGCAAATAACTTAGTACAGTGAAAATATGAAACAAATTTAAGTCCAAGTAAGCTTTTATCCTTAATTTGATTAAACTTGGCTCTTTGAATGGAGTGTTGGATCATTTACAGTCATGTATACATTTAAATTGAGCAAAAAGAAACATAAGAGGGCTGACTTTGTTAAAGGCTAAGCAGACACCACTGTTTTAGGTATTAGATTGCCTGTACCCAAGCTCAGCTCAGAATCATGTTTTTTTCTACTTTGTTTGGTTAGCTCTAGTGAGTTTTTATTTTTTTTAATGATGCAGATTTAGTGGATTGAGGTGATTTACTAACTCCTACTTGTGTAAGATTTTTCACATGCAAAAATAATTATTTCTATATTGTTGCCAAATTTTACTGTATAGTTTCCAAACCCACTTAGAAGTATAATATTTATTAATTACTGAAATTATTAGTCTACATTTGGTATACAGTTTCGTGTGTTACATAGTAGCAGGTCAAAATAAGTTACTACTTTAAGGTCATTTGCTGCAGTGGCTGAGGTGGCCCTGCACTGGGGCCATTTCAGTGGGTGTAGCCTTTCACCTTAAATGCATTACCCATGGTAGCATGGAGGGGTAAGGCCTTCAGGTCAATTTTTAAATGGCCTTATTTGAATTTGATGTTTTAAAAGAAACTCAGGGAAGGTACTAAAACCAAAATCTCTAATTTGACTTTGTGTTTTCCACAGTTTTTATTTTGTTTTATTGGGATACTGTTATAAAGGGAAATAATAACTGTGATCATTTGATAATCGTACAACTTTCCTAATTATTTCTTCATCGTTACCTTTTATTTCACAAGTTTCTGACTATGAATTAAGTTAACTTTTTTTTTTACCAGTTTCAAGCCACCTTTTATGTGCTTTAAATGTATATAACTAGAGAGTACTATATGCTGAAAAGAATGTGTTTGAACACAGTTAACGTCACAAACAAATCTAAGCCCACTTTTTTGTGACTTTTTTTGGTGACAAATATATCTAATAAATGTGTTTACATGTGTGCTTTTTAAAAATAGTAGTAATTGATGCAGGCATTTTAATAAATAGTCCATGTCTTATGAGCCAGGCAAACTATGCCAAGTAGGAGGGCAGTAAAATAATTAGAAAACAGAATGCTGAGTCATCAAGATGTAGAACAATTTATTTGGAAACACTAGAGGCATGGTTCAATGTTCAAAGTGTTCCAAGGGTCTGGAAATCCCAAACAAAGTTACAAATGGCTGAATCAGCACATCTAGACAGCCCGGTCCTACCCAGTGTTAGAACAGACTGTGAAGTGACACAAGCTTTAGATGTGAAAGAAGACTGAGATGCTACACAGTGACTAATTTCAACTGTCTAGTTGTCTAGAAAAGGGAAAACTAGTGGGACAGGGACAGACAGACGGGCAGAACGATTGGGGCAGCACTCTGAAAAGCCTGGATTCTTTATAAAGGCTGTGGAGTAAAATCCTCCCAAGTTCCCAGCCTGCTTGGTTGTAGAGGTCCAATTCAGGTCTGGCCTGGAGATTTCTGACTAATCTCATGAGGAATTTCCTTTAATGACTCCATCCACACAGGTGTTTACATCCTATTGCTTGTTTCTCAGAAGAATCCAACAGTGTGGCTTTTTTCTTGAGAAAAGCATCTCTTCCGTTCTTTTTAAATCAATGTTCTTACTGCCTTTTGTGCAGCTGGACAATAAACCACACCATGCACCATTAACCCAGTTGTGATACATACTTTGAGACAGGGTCAGCACATACGCTGTACATATATTAATAAATTGCCATGTTCTGTTTAAGCTCACTAAGTAGGTGGATTTGGCCTTCTCAGTTCGATCTGAAATGTGTTCATCATTTAACTCCTGTCTGTCTTTCTGACAGGGTCTTATTAGAAGGCCCCAGCTAGACTGTGTGTGTACATGCATGCATATAAATATAGGTGCCTTTAGAAGCAATAGGCATCAGCTTCCCTGCACCTGCAGTTATAGGTGATTTTTGAGCTGCCTGACATGAGTGCTAGGAACAGATCTTGGGTCCTCTGGAAAAGCAGCAAGTGGTTTTAACTGTTGACTCATCTCTCCAGTTCACTGTGTGTGTGTTTTGTGCGTAATTGTTTTGTAACATTTTCTGTGAGTGCAAGCCTATGTGTGCCTGTACATGTAAAGACCAGAAGATAATCTGTGAGAGACATTTCTATCTTGTGTGGACCAAACTCAAGTCCTTCTGCTTGGTGGCAAGTGCCCTTCTCATTGAGCCATCTTGCAGGCTTGTTGTTGATTATTAATATTTATTATTGATTTATCTTTTAAACAGCGGTTATTCCTAAACCAGCTGTATACCCAACTCACCACACAGAGACTAGGATTTATTTAATTAATCTAGAGCACAATGCTAGGCAATAGTTATTCCATCCTAAACCTCCAAGCTTGCATAGTTTCTTCCCATTCAGATTTCCCACATTATACTTACTTTTAGTCATCTCCGGTCTGGTTCATCTCTCCTCATGGTTCCAAGTACTCTCCTGCCACTCTCTCCACCAACTCCTCCCACTTCCTTCTCCTCCCCTCCAGACCAGGATGTTCCATCGTATTTTCTCCATTGCTCAGCATTGGCTGGTTGTTTTATTGACAATACAGATAACAAATGGTGGCATGTTTACACAAACTTGAGACTGGTGATACTTAGAATAAAAATCACAATACAATGTGATGAAACCAGATAGTTCGGTAGAGAAATCAGCATTTGAATGAACAAGATAAATTGCATACATTCCACATAAACATAACAACACGGGCTTCCTAAGCATGTTTGTCTTAGTGTCTACATGTAGAAAAATGCAAGTAAACCCAAATTTATCACCCTGCACAAAGTTAAAGTCCAAGTCAGACTTTAACTTTAATCAGAGTCAGACTTTAACTTTAATCAGAGACCTCAACATAAAACTAGACATACTAAATCTGTTAGAAGAAAAAGTAGGAAAGAGCCTTGACCTTATTGGCACAGGAGACAAACTTCCTGAACAAAACACCAACAGCACAGGCTTTTAAGATCAACAATCAATAAATGGGACCTTATGAAACTGAAAAGCTTCTGTAAATCAAAGGACACGGTCATCAGAACAAAAGAACAGCCTACAGACTGGAAAAGATCATCACCTACATCTGACACATATGGTATATACTAACTTATAAGTGGATATTAGCCATATAATATAGGCTAAACATCAAGGAGGACCCTAGGGAAGATGCTTAATCCTCATTCAGAAGGGCAAATGGGATAGACAGTGGAAGTAGAAGACAGGGAACAGGACAGGAGTCTACCACAGAAGACATCTGAAAGAATCTACCCGCCAGAGTATCAAAGGAGATACTGAGACTCATAACCAAACTTTGGGCAGAGTTCCGGAATCCTTATGGAAGAAGAGGGAGATAGAAAGACCTGGCAGGGATAGGAACTCCACAAAGAGAAGAGCCAAAATTCCTTCACTCAGGGGCCCTGCAGAGACCTATACTCTTAACCAAAGAGTGCATGGAGAGGACCTAGACCTGCTGCTCAGAGGAAGCTCATAGGTTGCTCAGTGTCCAAGCGGGTTCTCTAGTTAAGGCGAATAGGGACTGTCTCTGACATGAACTCAGTGGCTGGTTCTTTGATCACCTCTCCTTGTGGGGTGCAGCCTTACCAGGCCACAGAGGAAGAAAAAGCAGCCAGCTTTGATGAGACCTGATAAGCTAGGGTCAGATAGAAGGGGAGGCAGTCTACCCCTATCAGGGGATTAGGGTAAGGGCATAGGGAGAGAAGGGGGAGAGTTGGTGGGCTGGGAGGAGACAAGGGGCTACAGCAGCAGCAGAGATACAAAGTGGATAAATTGTAATAAGTTTTTTTTTAAAAGTCTTCCAGGGTCTTAAAAAAAAAAAAAAAAAAACGGGTCCAGGGCCAGGCTGGGCTCTAGCCCTGTGAAAAGAGGGAAAGAAGAGCAAAACAGCCCACTAAGGAAAATACTGTGTCCTTGGGAACAGAAGGTGAGTAAAGAGATTGTCCCGAACACAGCTGAGGGTGAATCACTCCCTGCACTGAAGCCCCAAGCTTATCCCAGAATATAAGCATGCCTCTGGCAAAGGCTTAGGAAGTCTTACCCGGGAAGGGGTGGTGTGCCCCAGACTGTCTACCAGGAGGTCCCCTGTCTGACTGACCAGTCTATCTGCTGGTTGTTGTTTGGCTCTTGTGATGTACTTAATTCACTCACTTGGAAACCTAAAGCTTGGCTGTGGGTTGTTCTCCATACAGGGAGAAAAAAAAAAGTTTTCTAATTTGTTTTTGAAAATGAAATTTTGAAGGCAGCAGTGCTGTTTACTTCTGAGTGAGCGGTGAGAAACTGGGAGGAGGGAGGGAGTAAGGATTGGGAGGAGAGAAACTGTGAAATGGGCAGAATGTGCTCATGAATATGCAGAGGGCTTTTGATATTTTGCTGCAGTTAGGGCAGCATGCATTATCAGGAATTAGACTTAGATAGTGTAGCCTATATGGTTATAAGAAACACTACAGGACAGGGAGTGGTTATTATCTATATGTAGCTGAAGTTCCTGGGCGAAAGGGAATAGTGTTAGTACAAGTCAGTTTACACTGCAGCAAAGTCCCCCAGGGGTGAGGGAGACAGGCCCAGAGAGATTTATGGACACAATGGGTTGTTGGGCAGGACAGTGATTCCCTCACTATTTTTCATGCTAAGTAACAACAAGCTTGCTTATTGCTTTAGGAAAATATCCCTTCTAAAATGAAATTCATTGCTCCAAACAACTCTGAAAAAAAGTGACTAAATCTTTGAAACTGTAAGCCAGCCCCAATTAAATGTTTTTCTTTGTAAGAGTTGCTGTGGTCGTGGTGTCTCTTCACAGCAACAGAAACCCTAACTAAGACAATGGGGGTAGGGAGTAGGAACCTGCTATGAGTGGTCAGGCTAGAGAGACAACTGCCTCAGTTTGGACTCAGCTAGATCTGACCACTAACCAGTAGATTCTCCTGGGTAACACTGGTCTATTCCTGCCAACTTTCCCAGCAAAAGGAGACAAAACATTTAAAGATGGCTGTGCAGCTTTGCAGCAGGAACGTGTCGCCATCCTTGATGCTAGCTTGGATGAAGTCACTTTTGTCCATATAAGCATATAAACCTTGTACTTATGACTTGATTGAAAAATGAAATTTAAAAAACCCACAAGCCTTGCTGTGGCTAGGACCACAGAGTTTGGGGCACTGGGGTCTGGAGTTTCAGGTGAGCCCATGCTATATCAACTGAAACAGTATTGAAAAGGTATTGATTTGAGACACACCATCCCTCTGCAACCCTTCTTGGATTTTTTATTTTTTTTTCTTTTTGAAAGCTTTGAAATAGAAATGGATGATCACGGATCATTACACTCTAGAAAAGCATCTAACATGAGATAGCCCAAAGCCAGTAGGAGGAAAAGAAGAAATTGGAAAGGAAACGGGAAACCACAAATTACTGAAGCACCCCAATAGGCAGACAGATAGAAAAAGAGGCACCAGTATGCCTTCTTCATGCAGAACAAAGGCCCATTGGGTGTTTTTCACCCTGGCTGACATTGTCAAGGTCAGTCCAGGACCTGTCTCTGCTTGCATAAAGCTATGTGTGCATGGGGCTCTCTTGTTAAAGTTGGCCCTTAATAAGGAGAGGGGAACCCACTCCACCACTGAAAACATTTAAACGTCCAGGGAGAATGGGTAAGGGGGACTTGGTTTTGGTTTTCAGAATCCCCTCTCGCTTGTCCTGGAGTCTTTGTGTGTGAGGGAGCATGTATACACTTGGCTTTTAATAAAACTTGCTTGCTGTGAGTGGTTTGCTGTCTTTTAAATTCTTTAATCCCTGGAGAAAACCAACCAAGCTAAAATCCCTGAATGGAAATCCTTGCGCTAACAGGGAAATGGCTAGGATTGATACAGCCTTTAATCCCAGCTCATTGGAGGGAGGTTAAGGCAGGAGGTTCTTCAACCTCTGGGTCAACATGGGCAATACTGTGAAGCCATATCAGAAAAACAAACCAAAAAAACAAGCAGAAAGCAGACATCCGAAAGATGAAGGTTAAGGGTTGAGTTAGCCTTAAAGCCATGCAATACTGAGAGGCATTACCTAAATGCTTCAGGAAAAAGCAGTTCAAAACCTAAGATAATAGTTTTAAAAGTGTAAACTTAAGTCCCTGGCTAGAAAAACTTGAAAGCTTCTGGGGACAATGAATTGGAATCCACCTTTAAAATCAGCCCAGGCAGTTCTGATGTAGCTAAAAAAGTGAACAAGCGAAGGTAAGAGCATTGGGCATATAAAAGATGGTGTGATTTCTATAGAGAGACAAGTGTGCTAGCTAGTTGTCAACTTGACACAAGCTGGCGTCATGTGGAAAGAGGAAACTTCAACTGAGAAACCGCCTACGTTGCATTGGGCATTTTTCTTGGGTAATTATTGATGCGGGATGGCCCAGCTCAGCGTGGGCAATGGCACCCCTGGGCAGGTGGGCCTGGGCTGTATAAGAAAACAGCCTGAGGGAAGGAGACGTGGTCCAGGGTTCAAGACCAATGACTCCTCTTTCCAGAGGACCCAGGTTTAATCCTCACTACCCACAGGGTGACTCATAACTGACTAACAGATGATCCCACAATAAGATCCTCTTCTGCCCTCAGGCAACAAGCACGCATGTGGTGCACAAACATGCTAAAACACCCAAACACAGAAAATAATTAAACACTCCCCGAAAAGGGAAAGAAAGAAAAGCTGGCTGACCAAACCAATAACCAGCATGCCTCCACGGGCTGCTTCAGGTCCTGCCTCCAGATTTTGGCCTTGAGTTCCCCAAGTTACTTTTTGGTCATGTTTTATCACAGCACTAGAAAGCTAACTAGAACAAGTAAAACACTAAAAATGTGTGGGGATTCCCGTAGTACACAGGAAGAAAGCAGTTTCCAAATGAGTATTTCTTGCACACTTCGGTACGACAGCTTCTGGTCCCCAGCAGCTAAGGACACACTCCTCTCTGCCTTTTAAGGCACCCTGGAAGGGTGCATAGCTGCACCAACCTTTCCTCCCATCAGGAACACAGAAACAAAAATCTCTGCTCCTTTCCTCTCTGCACAGTAACTCACCGCAGTTGTGGCCCTTCGCGTTTATTGTGATAATTGTCGCCCTTGGAAACACATTCAAATATATAGTAGGTTTATGGACTGCAAGGGCTTCACCCCTGCAGCGACGGTCTCACCAGTGGAGGAAATAAGGCCAGTCACTCTCGAATCTGGCGGTAATCTCTTCACGTCGGGCTTCTGGGATATTTTTAACCCTCCTTTAGAAACGAGGCGACTCCGGCTCAGATTTCAAGTGTGTTGGAGCGACGTCCCTGCTGTCACGAGAGCTCACTGCCCTCCCTGAGGTCCCTTCTTGGTTCCCAGCACCCACCTGATGGCTCACAACCACCTGTGACTTCAGCTCCCGGGAATCCGTCGGCGCCTCCACGCACATGGTACGCATAAACTCACGCAGGCGCACGCACACACACAGGTACGTCGCTCGGCGTGTATCTGAGGTCTGAACGCGCAGCCTAAACGTACTGCTCCAAACGCGATCCAGACCGTGCAGGACCTCCGCTGCGCTCCTGGGCGGAGCCCGGTCGGCGGTGGCCCCGCCCCCGACGCTGTCGTGACGTCACGGGCGGCGGAAGATGGACGCGAGAGGCCGGGCTGCGCGGCCTTTTTACGGCTGCTGGGCGTCTGCCGCTCGGCTGGAAAGTGCGTTCCACGCGCTGTGGTGAAAAGGTGGGATGGGAGCTCGCGGGAGGCGGCGGGTGCCATGGGTGGCGACCTGAGGAGGTTGGGCTGCTCTCGCTAGGGTCCGCCGGACTTCCAGACCCTCCCCGGTCTGGCTTGGGCTCCTCCGGGCTGTGTGGTCTCCCAGGTCACCTGCCTGCACCCAGTGACCTTCAGTGAAATTCAAGTGCACCCGCCTCGCCACCTCCTAGCGTGGTCCCGAGAGTCAGTGAAAGATTTTTTTGGAAGCCACGAGGTTGCATTGTAACTAAAGGTGGCTGCATGATAGGTGTCAAGATGCAGGTGGATAAGTTACCAATATT